TCTCTAAACATAACCCAGTAAACAAATCACTGACCATCTCTCCCTCTCTCTCTCCCCCTCCACCCCCCTCTCCCCTCCCCCCACCCTCCCCCAGGTTCGCCTTCAAGGTAACGGAGGACGAGATCCACCTGTGGTTCAACTGCCAGCTGTCCAACATGCTCCTGGTCAAGAGGATTCCGCTGCAGCTGGTGTTCGACTCGGCCTCCACGCTCTACATCGGCCAGGCAGGCGGCATCTTCAAGGGCGAGTTCGAGGTAAGACTTGTTATTATTGGTGTTATTATTTTTTGTTATTATTTTTGTTGTTATTGTTATTGTTATTTTGTTATTGTTATTGTTATTATTTTTGTTATAGTGGTTGTTGTTATTATTACTGTTATTTTTTATATTATTTTTGTAATTGTTATCATCATTATCATTATTATCATTATTATTATTATTATTATTATTATTATTATTATTATTATTATTATTATTATTATTATTATTATTATTATCATTATTATCATTATTATCATTATTATCATTATTATCATTATTATCATCATAATCGTCATCATTATCATTATTATCATTAGTAAAATAATCATTATCATTAGTACTTTTATTTTGTTTCCTCAGTAGTTGGGGTTAGTGTGAGGTGAGAGAGATTAGGATTTTTCCTTCATTTCATATTAATTTAAAATCTTTATTATGATTCTTTTCTGTGTTTGTTTATCAATCAGGATTAATTTGTGGTGAGTGAGATATTTTTCTACATAATGTTTTCAAATTAGTTTTCAAATCTGCGATGAAATGGTGAGATTTTTTTTTTTTTTTACTCTTTTAGTTAGATAATCAGGTTTGATTCTTATTGGGATTAATTGTTATTGTTATGTTTGATTCGCCGATTTCCAACTTTCTTTAATTGTTTGATTGTAAAGGATTTCCATATTTCATTCAATTGTTTGTTTGTCTGTCATTCATGTATTTGTTCATCTGTTAGCATTCAATTCAGTAATTAATTATTGCATTGCTTTAATCAGGTCGATTAATTCTTTCCCTCACCCATCCACCTTCTGACCGGATGCTATCGTTTTTGTTTTTGGGGAAATTCACTATCACTTAAAAGGTGGAATTTGACCTGGCTGCGTTTTCTTTCCCGGTGCTTTTGTATCTGCTGATATGGCTGTTCACTGTCATTCTGAGAACCGTAATTTAGCTTCCCTTTTGGGCTTTTTTGTCGCGCTCCTTTGCCGTTTGTATGGATGGAGCTATATTAATCGAATTCATGTATTATTTGCATACATACATGCGGATATATATGTATATATGCGTATATATGTGTATATATGTGTATATATGTATATACACATATATACATATACACACATGCACATATTCATCTATTTATTCATTTCATGCAAATCAACAACATATATAAATCGAATGCCTTTGTAAACTGGTGATATTTGGTATTAGCGCGCGTATGTACAGCACATGCCAGTGTCAACATGCCATCCGCTCTCCCTCGCCTCTCCGACTCCTTCCGCTGGCAAAGGTGGGGGGGGGGGGGGCAGGCGCAGAGACGGTGCATTTTGCTTGTGGTTTTAGAAGGAGGGAGGGAGGGGCAGGGGGGAGGGGGAGGGAGAGAGGGTAAGGGAGAGGGAGGAAAAGGAAGGAGCGGGAGAGAGAGGGAGTGGGAAAGGGAGAATGAGAGTGAGAGTGAGTATGAGAGAGGGAGAGAAAGAGAGAAGGAAAGCGAGAGAGCGCGCGCGCGAGCAGCCTGGCCACCGGAACTAATTAAACTGTGGCACTGAAGACCCGAGGCGAAGTCCCCGCCCTGCGCTCGGGGCCCCGGATGTAACGTCACTGCCTGGACACTTTTTCGCTCGCTCTTGCCCTTTCCATCTCTTGGGGGGGGGGGGGGTCGTGGGGCAGGAGGAGAAGGAGGATGGGGGGGGGAGAGGAAATTCTTTTAATGCTGATGAGATCAAATGCGGAGTGCAAAAGTGAGATAAAAAAGAAAAAGATGTTTTAAAGAAAGTGTGGGGTGGAAGATGTAGTTAAAAGAGAGAAAAAAACTTTTTTTTCAAGAATTACTTTCATGTTTTCTCTTTTCACAAACGTTTAGCGACGTTTGTATTCACACAAGCCGCGCGAGAGCCTCACCGCACGGTCCACCACGGAATATATACGACATGAATAATTGCAGTCTGATGGGAAGGATCATATTCTAATTAGATCCATCGTTATAATCGACCTTATTATCAAAGTCGTTATTCGTTTAATTGCAAAACCGCTTTTGACTCGCCCGCCGGCCAATAGGAAGCCACGAATGGGCAGCGTTGCAACGGCATTGCAATGTTAGTGTTCCTTTAAGTGCCGAATTCTCGAAATAATGGGTATCGCTTCAGCTGCCTTTATTAATATGGTCGAAAACAGCATGGACGCCGTTGCTGTGCCGCCGGTCAGGCCATGCAAATGCTGATGCAGATTCCGTGGTGTGGGTACAACTATGAGTGTCGCTGGTGTTTGCTCTCCCGACCTGTTTGTTTGTCTGTGTGTGTGTGTGTGTCTGTTTGTGTTTGTCTGTCTGTCTTTCTTTCCTTCTGTCTGATTGGCTGTCTATCTGTCTGTCTCTTTAGTTCCCTTTCCCCCCATATCTCTCTGTGTCTCTCTCTCTGTGTTCTCTCTCTCTCTCTCTCTCTCTCTCTCTCTCTCTCTCTCTCTCTCTCTCTCTCTCTCTCTCTCTCTCTCTCTCTCTCTCTCTCTCTCTCAGTCTCTCTTTTGTCTTTCTTTCTCTCTCTCTCTCTTTCCTTATCCCTCTGTCTCTGTTCATCTGTCTCTCTCTCTCTCTCTCTCTCTCTCTCTCTCTCTCTCTCTCTCTCTCTCTCTCTCTCTCTCTCTCTGTCTGTCTGTCTGTCTGTCTATCTCTATCTCTCTATCTCTCTCTCTCAACCTTCCTCCCTCCCTTCCTCTCTCTCTCTCTCTCTCTCTCTCTCTCTCTCTCTCTCTCTCTCTCTCTCTCTCTATATATATATATATATATATATATATATATATACCTCCCCCCTCTCTCCCTCTCCCTCTCCCTCTCCCCCCCCCCCCTCTCTCTCTCTCTCTCTCTCTCTCTCTCTCTCTCTCTCTCTCTCTCTCTCTCTCTCTCTCTCTCTCTCTCTCCCTCTCCCTCTCCCTCCCCCCCCCTCTCTCTCTCTCCCTCCCCCCTCCCCCCCCTCTCTCTCTCTCCCTCTCTCCCTCTCTCTCTCTCTCTCTCCCTCTCCCTCCCTCCCTCTCCCTCTCCTTCTCCTTCTCCTTCTCCCCCTCTCTCTCTCTCTCTCTCTCTCTCTCTCTCTCTCCTCTCTCTCTCTCTCTCTCTCTCTCTCTCTCTCTCTCTCTCTCTCTCTCTCTCTCTCTCTCTCTCTCTCTCTCTCCCTCCCTCCCTCTCTCCCTCTTTCCCTCTCTCCTGTTCATCCATTTATCAACCAAGTCAACATATATCCCCATTCTCCACATCTACATTAATATCCCTTTATATATTTGATCCCCCCCCCCCCCCCCGCTGAAACCCATAACAGTGATCAGCAATTTTGATTCGTTAATTGTCTAATTAAGTGATTAAGGCTTCTGAAAGTTTGTTTCTAATTAATGAGAAAAACACTTTAATTGGCCGTTTGATGAAATGACTTTTGATGATTTCGAAGGATTTTTCTTATCTCTGTTACTGTGTCTTTTTGTTTTGTGTTTTTTTTATTTGTTCTTTTGGTTTGATTTGTTGATTATGTGGTGATGGACTGCTGTTGTTTGTTCATCTGTTTGTTTGTTTATTTATCTATTTATTTGTTTATTATTATTATTGTTGTTGTTTTGTTCAGTGATTTGTCCCCTTTTTGAAGTGGTCCGTTTAAGGTATTATCAATATAATTTCCTTTATTTGTGTTATTAATGTTATCATCATTGTAATCATTGTTTTTACTATCATTCTTTGTTATTGGTGTTCTTGTTTACATTATCGTTCTTTGTCATTTTTATATCAGCTTACGTCTATATTTTTTCCGTTTTCTTTGTTGATTCTCTTTCGCGGAATCAAAGAAAACCGTAAATGGAGCATAAACTAGAGTAAAGTGAAATCGCCTTGTTTAAAAGGAACTTAATTTCATATAAAATTTGAATATCATTTTGAAGGATTACAATAGTGCATTTTAGCGATTAATAATGTAAAGCGTTATTCAAGACCCTTTGAAGATGTGGAACATACTTGGATAGAGGCCAGCAATACTCACAAAATATTTCCACTTCAATATGTTTATATAGATCGTCTTACAGTCTTTACTTCAAGATTGTTTATATAAATATATTTATGGAATAACAATTGTGTGTTGGACTGCACATACACACGGATGTACAACATTCTACTAACCCTGAATACACACACCCGCGCGCTCGCACACACGTACACAAACACACAAACACGCACACGCGCGGGCACACACACACACACACACACACACACACACACACACACACACACACACACACACACACACACACACACACACACACACACACACACACAACCTATCTTTTTCCTATCTATTTCCTCTCCTCCTCTCTCTTTGCGCATAATTTCCCAAAGCATATAACAAATCACAAAAGAATTAAACCAATTCCCATCCGCAACGACGCACCGAATAAAACTCGCCGGCAAAGCGCATAATCCTCCAACGCCATAAAAATAAGACACGTTTATTAATCAAACCAAGCTTATAATATCTCCCTATCCCGTATCACAAGCGATTAATCTTCATCAGTGCTTCCTTTTATCCTTCGAAAGCACCGATTTCTCCGCCAATATTTCAAGCTGTCAGGAGGACCCGCGCCATACCAGGCACTACCCCCTCCACCCTCCTCCCCCTTCCCACCTTCCCTCCCCCCAGGTATCCCACGGTGTAACAGAGTCCCACCGTCCCGTATTAGGAGGAGAGAGAGAGGCAAGGTGTCTGCGCGTGACTGTGTCCTGAGGCCGAGACGCGGGATTCGCATTATGAGGGCCTTCGCGTGGACTCAATCGTACTTGGGAAAGGGCGTGGTGGAAGGACCCGTTGGCTGAGGTTGCGATTCTTTCTATTTCTGGATTGGATTCTTAAAAACCGCTAGCTATAAGAGTAGAAGTTCCTCATTTTCCCGCTAAAAAAAGGGGACTGTAACGTTAGAAACAGAGCAAACTTTAAAAAAATAGTCATAATGCTAGATCGTAGCTCAAGAACTCTAGATCTAGCAGGAAAATTGTTTGTTTGTTTGTTTCTGTGTTTCTGTCTGTCTATGCCTCTTTCTTTGTCTCTCTCTCTAGGAATATGATAATAATAATAATGCTAATAATGATAGTGATGATAATAATGATGATGATGATGATAATAATAATAATGATAATAATAATAATAATAATGATAATAATAATAATAATAATAATAATAATAATAATAATAATAATAATAATAATGATAAGGATAATAATGATAGTAATGATAATAATAATATTAATATCAATAATACTTATAGTTATAATAATGATAACAATAATAATAATAACAAATGATAACAGTATACTATCAATATGAATATTATAACTGTAATCATAGTATTGTTATTACTATTATCATTATCATTCTTATTATTACTATCATTACCATTATCATTATTATTATTATCATAATCATAATCATCAGCATCACCATTATTATCGATACCATCATCATTACTCGAGTGCTATCATCCCCATCATTATCATAATCACCATCACCATGACCCAACATCACCATCCTCATTACCAATATTTTTCCCCCAAGGCTGCGCATTGTGTGCCTACTTAACACTTTGCGAATGACACTTGGTAACTATGGCAGACACAATAGGAGACGCTGCACTGAATTCATGCTTGGAGGTCGATCAGCTGATGCTTCTTAGGGTGACGTTGGTAACACTGTGCGTTCGTTTGTCTGTTTGTCCGTTTGTTTGTTTGTTGTTGTTGGAGGGTGAGTGAGAGTGAGAGGGAGAAGGACAGGGAGTGTGAGTGTGGGTGTGAGTGAGAGGGAGAGTGAGAGGGAGAGGGACAGGGACAGGGACAGGGAGTGTGAGTGTGAGTGTGAGTATGAGTGTGAGTGTGTCAGTGTGGGTGAGAGTGAGAGTGAGAGGGAGAGGGAGAAGGAGAGGGAGAGGGGGTGTGAGTGTGAGTGTGAGTGTGGGTGTGAGTGAGAGTGGGAAGGAGGGAAGAAAATAAAACAAAAGAGAGCGTGGAGGGAGGAAGTGAAGCAAGCCAGGAAGGAGGGGGCGAAGGGGAGGGTAGGGAGGGAGGGGTTTGTCTAGACAGTCAGACAGAGAGAGAGAGAGAGAAGGAGAGAGAGAGGAGAGAGACAGAAGGAGAGAGAGAGAGGAGAGAGAGAGAAGGAGAGAGAGAGAAGGAGAGAGAGAGAAGGAGAGAGAGAGAAGGAGAGAGAGAGAAGGAGAGAGAGAGAAGGAGAGAGAGAGAAGGAGAGAGAGAGAAGGAGAGAGAGAGAAGGAGAGAGAGAGAAGGAGAGAGAGAGAAGAGAGAGAGAGAGAGAGAGAGAGAGAGAGAGAGAGAGAGAGAGAGAGAGAGAGAGAGAGAAGAGAGAGAGAAGAGAGAAAAGAGAGAGAGAGAGAGAGAAAGAGAGAGAGAGAGTGAAAGAGAGAGAGAGAGAGAGAGAGAGAGAGAGAGAGAGAGAGAGAGAGAGAGAGAGAGAGAGAGAGAGAGAGAGAGAGAGAATGAATGAAACAAAAAAAAAACATACCCATATCTAAATAAAAAACAAACAAACGAATAATAAGAAAAAAAACAGCAAACGAAGAACAAGATCAAGAACAAGCGTGAGCCCCAGCGACCCCCCTGGGCGACCCCCGAGGCCAGCCAGCGCCCGAGGGAGTGTCGGCCCCCGCGTGGGAGCTCGCGAAGTGCCCTAAACAACGAGCGTGGTCGCGACGGCCCGATCAATAATGCTCCGAGGCGTGTGGGATGAAGCCAGTCAGGCCTCGTTGAGCAGGAGTTATTGCAAATCATCGAATTGTCAGGGTGCAGCAGCCGGGGCTTCAGCGTTATCGTCCGCGGCGGAAGAGGAGGCGGGGGGTTGGGGGGGGGGGGCGCTCATCGGGTATGCAACACGAGGCTCCTTCTTGGCATTCTTGGGCATTCCCCGTTCTCGTCTTCTGGGTTCACGTGGGGAGGGAGGGAGGGGGGGGGGGAGGGAGGGAGGGGGGGAATGGTTAGGTTAAAAGGGTTAGTTAGTGGGTATAGAGGGAGGGAGAGAAGAGGGGTTCAGTTAGAGTTTGGGAGGGTTAGTGGGGGGAGGGAGGAGGGAGGAGGTGGGGATTAGGTTAGAATTGGGGAAGGTTAGTGGGGATAGAGGAAGGGAGGGAGGGAGGGAGGCGGGGGTTAGGGAGAAGTGGGGTGGGTTAGTGAGGATAGAGGGGGAGGGAAGAGGGGTTAAGTTAGAGTTAGGGAGGGTTAGTT